TGTGTCTCAAAGGTGTCTATATTTTCTATTATTTATGCATTAAATCTCCACTCTTTACTGCATTATCAGTGTGCTCCATTAATTGGTAAGACTAAAGCATTAGGTAGTGCAGTATGTTAAGAAAACAATATTTAATGAAGATTTGATTGTTATCGCCTGCATTAGCGTTAAGTCTAATGCTAAACGAAATCTCACAAATGTTACCAGCATCCCTGTTGAGTCTTATCTCTGTTGTGGTTCTGCATTTGAATGCTTAATATAGCCGCAGGCAAGTAAGCCTTTTAAGAAGGGTGGCTGTTCACAGTAAGTAGCTTTCTCTATAAGAATTGTTCCATTAAGATTATGCATTAATTTTTGTTTGAATTTGTTTTCAGAGGTGATTTTTTTTTCAAGCTACTTTTTTGTATGTTTGATTCTTTTTTTTTTTTCTTCCTCCTTTTAGTGATACAAATGAGGTGGACATACCACCAAACACCCGGGTAGGAACAAAGCGCTATATGCCTCCTGAGGTGCTGGATGAAAGCTTGAATAGGAATCACTTCCAGTCATATATCATGGCTGATATGTACAGTTTTGGACTCATCCTTTGGGAGGTAGCAAGGAGATGTGTGTCAGGAGGTAAGTTCCCACATTGGCAGTCCTGAAGGGTTATTCATCATTGTGGTGGGAACATGGAGCTAATTTGTGGGCTCTTTCAGGCCAGGTCTACACTACAGCTGGGATCCATGCTCTGAGATCAATCGACTGCTGGTGGTTGACCCTCCCACAGTGTAAAAACACAAATTAGTAAGAGGGTTTCCTTGGACATCTTTTGTAGGCCCTCCACTCATGCTCAGATTGTTGCATTGCCTCTGCTGTTTCATTAGAAGATGTTCTTTTTTGCTTTACCAGCTAAAATAATCAGGTTAGTTTTTACATTGCACTTTCCACTTATGAAGCACAGAGAGGTAAAAGATTTAGGTTACTGATTTAGAATGTCTGGTTTATTTTCACCCTAGAAGAGGAGCTGCATGTATGTTGTGGGTCAATTGATCTCTGTATTTATAGCGTACAAAGGGCATTGCAAAAGTAATTGTTTGTGAAAGACCTTCTTGATAAGTGATCATCAGGAAAGAATCAATTATTCCCCTTTATCTAAGTGGTGGGAAATTTTAGTTCATTAATTTTCTTACGATTTGTGGAGTGTGTATATGTAATATTTTTATTTTTATCTTCTGAATCTCATATAGTTGAGCCACAGAAATTATGCTGAGCAAGACAGAGCTGGGTGTAGTTGATACAGTCCAGACATCCTTAGTCCCCTGGGATTTTTATGATGCATCTGGAAAATGTTTCTTTCAGGAATAGTTGAAGAATACCAGCTTCCATACCATGATCTTGTGCCCACTGACCCCTCCTACGAGGACATGCGGGAGATTGTATGCATCAAGAAGCTCCGTCCCTCATTCCCCAATAGATGGAGCAGTGATGAGGTAAGAAGTCCTCTAAAATAAAGCAAGTGTTTTAAACAGTGATGATTTCATCCAGAATAGATAGGTGGGATTTTCAAATATAGTTATCTGTCCAGAAATTCAACCTACTTGTAAACACACTTGTTTAGATATTGATAGAGCCCTGTGCAGATATCCAATCTGCTAACTGCAAAAAAATTATCCCCATAGAGGCATCCATGCTCCACTTACCCTGGGCATAAGGCCCAAGCAGTCCCTCACCCTAGTCCAGTTGGTGAGCGATCCATTATACTTGACATTTAATTTGAGAACTGCAGTCAATATACAGGAGTATATCTAACAGCAGTCTTGCATTCCAGCTGAGATCCTTTACTTTATTATCTTTTCTTTCCACAGTGCCTAAGACAAATGGGAAAACTCATGACAGAGTGTTGGGCTCACAATCCTGCTTCTCGGCTCACAGCCCTGAGAGTAAAGAAAACACTTGCCAAAATGTCAGAGTCACAGGACATTAAACTTTGATTCAACAACAGACAAAAAAATGACTTTCCCTTGTGGTCAGAGGACATGAAGAGGAATACTTCAGAGCAACTGTAGATTTGATTTAACTAACATCTTTTGAGGAGCGCAGCCTTTGACACACAAAAGGCTGCTCTGCATGGGAAAATACCATTTCAGTAACTGGTTCAAGATTATTATGTTGCTTTCTGTGAAAGCCTTTTTTTTTTAATATTGTTTAAAAGATACTGCTTTTGCTTTATGAAAGAAGTAAAGTGACTGCTTTTCACTTATAAAAAGATTTGCACTCCAAACAGCCATTCACTTTCATTTACCAGAGAAACCACTGGTGAGTGAAACTGCTACATAGTTTCATTAAGTGAAGTGAACTCAAATGACATGTTGGGAAGAGTAGCACAAAGAGTCTCTCAGAGGAAAAGTGTTGGAAGGTCAAGATGTTGTTCAGGTTTATATGATTATATATAGTAGCACTAAATAAATGACACATTATTATTTATGAACATGCATAGATTGACAAAACAGACTCAAATTTCCATAAAGAAACTATTTCTTTTGAAGGAACCAGTGCCTTATGAAACCTGTAAATACTGTAATTCTAAGAACTAGGGAAAGGGAACAAATGGTTATGTTGGATTTGTTCAAACTGTGTATGGTTGTTTTTTAACATTCCCCAAATAAAATAAATGGTTCTATCTCCCTTCAAGCAAGCATTCCAAAATGATTTTCCCCCAAAGGTAACCTAGGAATTTGAACAGAAGAATCCTGATCTCAACTGAGTTAATAGTAAAAGTTTTCTAAATAACAACACTCCCTTCCCCCCCAAAAGGCTAGTTATGAAAGTAAATCAGTTATCCCTCTCATTCTTTGTACCTCAGGTGTTTCCTGTTGCTGTGGTAGGCTGTCATTGTCCACTTTTTCCCCCCAAGCTCTGGTGCTGTGACCTGGGTCAATAAATAAATGTTACATGCAGACAGGGTGGATAAACACAGTCCAGCAGTAGGTCTTAAATTTTGGAATGATAGGATACCCTACAACAGGTATCCCAAACATTGTTTCTAAATCTCAGGGATTAATATCTATACTGGCAAGTTAAGCAGCAGCAGCACTTTGAAGCGTAGACATCGCCTCAGCAGGTTAGCTCAGACAACGACAGGCATTGGGATGCCTGGGAGAGGGGAAATAAAAGCTGCTTTGCCTACCCCCACCATTTTTGCATGCTGCCTCCGGACCAGTCAATTTCCACCCCTGCTCCGATTCGCCCCCTTTGCCACGTTTTACCTCATGTCAAAAGCAGTCCACAGAATCCTGTAAGGGGAAGCTGTAGGCAGGACGCCGCCCCCTAGTCCCGCCCGCCCGGCTCCCCAGCGCAGGGGAGCCGGTACCGTACCGTACCGTACCGTACCGTGTCGTGTGCCAGGAGGGCCGCGCCGCCCGGCGCGCTGAGCCCGAGCCGGGGCCGGGCGCTGTCGGAGCCCCGGCGGGACACACGCCGCTCCAGCCTCTCCCTTGCTCTGGATGCTGGAGCAGCCGCCGCTCTCTCGCGCGGGAGCCGCTTCCGGCTTTGTAGCCCCCGCCGTCGCGTCCCCAGCCAATGGGAACGCTGTTCCCAAATGCGCATGCGCCGTGCAGACCGCCAGGTGGCGCCGGGCCCTGATTGAGGTGCGGGACGCGGACGTGTGTCTCCACCAGCCGCAAGAGGCCAACGCGCTTGTTCCCCGCCCCTGCTCACCTGTGCCGTGCCAGCGAGTTTGTGCTGTGTTAGACTGCTGCTTTCCCCCCCGCCCCTGAGACTGCACAGGCGGGGCGTCCTTCATGTGCCTCATTACTCGCTGAACCCGCTCCCTCAGCCAAGCGCTGCAGGGACACAGAACAAAACGACAACAGCCATCACCCCCCCCCCCCCCCCCCAAAAAAAAGAAAGAGAGCAATAAGCACATGGGGCACAGGTCTTAGGCCAGCAATAAGGACCCCTCTGTCACATTTATTATTACCACCACTGCACTTGTATACAGACCATATTGAAAGTAGAACGGAGACAACTCCCTTCTCCTTTATGTGACGCCACCATGCAGAAAAGGGTACAGTTAGCTATGGGGCACAGAAGAGAAGACAGAGGGTAGTATAGTACACACTGAGAGCAGGGCTCATTAAGTTCAACTAGGGACCAGTGCCTGTACGCGCGCGCACACACACTGATTGGGCCCCTGGGTCACGTGGCGCCTTACTTCCCCCACTCTTTAAGGCAGTCTTTGCTGTGGAGCCATTCTCTTACACCACCAGCCTCTAGTTACACACACACTGGACAGGAAGAGCTAGGTACACACAGGGAGCCTGTGCCACTGAACACTTTCCCAAATAAACAGTACATATGGGTTTGTCAGATTCAACTCAGGCCCATCACTTGGCTTAACCACAGGCACTGAGATTAGTGACAAATGAGAATACATTTATTATTGTAGAACAATGTAATAAGAATATTGGAAACAAGTCATTACCTAAATAACCAAAATCATAGCACACTTTCTAGACGCTTAGTAAAACTAGCAGGTTAACCTCCTGGCTGAAGACAGTTCTCTCACCCAAAGTCCTCTGCGGCATTTTCAACCGAGGCTGCCTGCGACCCATGCGGTCCATTCGCTTCCCAGATGCAGGATGAAGGGGTGTCTTCTGTACCTTCTATATATACCCCCGACATTCATTGTCTTTCCTCCAAGGCAGGATAATCCCCCGGGGCTTGTTTTTGCCTGCTTCCTCCTTTTCTGTCTTTATTAACAGTTGACTTTGTATGTAAACAGGCCTGCATTCTGCTATTTTACGCTACATTTACATCCCAACACTTTGCAGAGTTTAAACACATATTTTCAGAATATATACGTAACTTCTCACATAGTATCTGTACACCATTTGACAACACTATTGATGACTAGCATGTCCACCGCTTTCAGGTGAGACCTCACCAGAGATTCTGTGGGAGAACCAGAATGTTCATAGCAGACTCAGGAGATTTTTGTAACCACTGTGCACCCCCTTGCCAGTTGCCATTAAAATATTCTTGTGTCACAGACACCAAAGCAGCGGCAATGAGTCAACGTGGGGATTTGTGACTAGCCACCGAGCCCTTTGTTAACCCATCAAACAAATAACCCCCTGGTCTCAGGAGGTGGATTGCGGCGGCCCTGGGATGGCTCTGGTTGTAAGCAGAAGGCAGGCAGGCAGGCTGGTCTGAGCGCCCAGGCGGCACGAAGGAGGTAAGCTACATTCTGCCATAGTACTGCTTGACCTTTGACATAAGTAGATAGGTCACTTGTCAAAAATCCAAATACGTTTGTATTTTGCCCCAAGACAAGTTACAGAAGTTCCTTCAGGGGCCAGTACCTGGAATGCTAGTATCCAAAACAAGGAGAATGAAAGGTTTAGAACAAGGGGAAGGACTGGGACAAAATGATGCGCTGGATTTCAGTGACATGTGAAAAGTTTTCTAACTTGTAAAATCATCCTACAAATGCTGCTAGTGTGAAATTTTGGGAGCAAACCCTCTGCGTATGGTGAGTTCAACAATGCCGTGTGAGACGGATTCCCGGAAACTGCTGTCTGAGATATTTTGGGGTGCGGTCCAGACGGGTCAGTAGCCGTGTCACGACCTCCTCTGCGACGTGGGGTGCCTCACAATGCCTTGCTGCTGTGGCTCCCGAACAGGGCTGCTCACAAACAGCCAAACGACTTGCAGGTCACACCCTGAGCATCTGTGTATCGCCATGGCCCTGGTCCGGCAATTCTGACCCCGGTGGCCTGTTAGCAAAAAGCGGCTACGCTCTGGCTTCCGGCAGCTTCGATTACTATGTGCACGGTGACTCTGACTCACTCCCGGTCCCAGATTTCCCCACAGAAATGTCTGTTCCGCACTGTCCAGATATATTCAGTCCGTCGCCTCTGTGAGGGCATCGAGCTACAACACCTTAAATGGAGTTCCCCACACGATTCACAATGCTAGATGAATTGTGATTAAAGAACAAAACAAGTTCATTTAACTACAAAGAGAGATTTTAAGAAAGTACAAGTTATAGTCAGAAATGGTTACAAGACAAACAAACACAAAACGCTTTCTAGTATTCAACAAACTAGACGTGGTTCAAGGTGAAATTCTTACCCCAGGTTTTCAGTAGCTTTGCCGACCAAGTTCCAGGACATGATCTGCTCCCGAGGTCCGATGGCTGTTTTCTTTTGTCCTCTTAGGTGAAAGAGAGAGATAGACAAGAAGAGATCATTTGAGATGTTTTTTGCCCCTTTTATAGCTCAGTCACCCTTGGAAAACCATTTTCCTGAGTGTGACCCCTGGTTAAAAGCTCTTTCCAGCTGAGAGCAAGGAGACACAGAGTCTTGTGTGGGAGACGATTCACGCTGTCATGTGCTAAGATCACATCTGCACTTTCCTGCCCTGCTTCCATGCCAAAGAACGGCCGCTTCACAGGTGATGACACCTGGCTGGGATGTCAACTTGTCTTTTGTGTTTGAGAAACAGGCGTACCCAGTCCCCAGATGTGTCCGGTAAACACATAGTATTGATTTTGGCTTATGTTCATGACTTTACATATAATGTTGCTACATACATTTTACCGTGACATTAATGACCAGCAAGTTTTACTTTTCACATGGTACCTCCAGCAGGTGTTTTTTGTACAAAGATTTTTACAATAGTGTACCGGGTGTGAATACAGGGGTGCGTTCTGTCACGGTATCTTTCGGCCTTTACGATGCCATCATTGACTTTCTGCAATAAACCTGATTGATATTGGTTAGTTTGGCTGTTCTATATATTTCATAACAAACCAAAGCATAGCCAAGTACGCAATGCTATAATTTATCAACAGTGCCCACCAGCCACAAAGGCGATTAATTACAGGCGGGTTCCTCCTTTAAAAAGCTCATCCTGGATAGACCAGACCCTGGCACCTCTTAAAGAATCCAGCCACCCTGGCACTTTGGCCTTAAATGGTTGGTACATTCACTACTGAAGTAAACCCGGTCTTTGCTCCTCCCCACCCCCTTGCCCTTAAATAAGGGCCACCCTCTCCTCTGGCATTTGATACCACTTTGACTGGAAGAAGATATGCCTTGGTCTCAGCATCTGTCTTCATGCAGAATTATTTCTGTGAATTAAAAAGTGCCCCCAAAACTATGGAAATACCGACAGGGTTACAAACATACTGTGACAATTCAGCAAAGCCCCCTGGTCCCTGATTGGCTCATGGAGAGACCTGGCTATACAGTGGTCAATGGTGCTCCGATTAGACCCTTGTGAAACCAGAATGACCCAATGGGGAGAGACGGGGGAGGGGGATATCAAGATCAAAATCCAGTCTGAAGTGGAGTCAGCAGGGTTACACAGAAGGAATCAAAAGCAGAATCCAGCCCAGTGTCAAACAGCTGCTGGGCTTTCTGAGAGAGCGACGCCTCACTGTACCCTTTAACCCTTTCTGCTCTAGTGACTCCAGCAGTAATACCATCCAGGCAGGCTGTGCTCTTCTGGTGATGTGACTCCTACTCCCCTGGAACTGTAGGATGCTGATCTGAGAGCAGCAATGAGAGAGAGAGAGAGTTAAAAGGGGGATGGGGGAGGACAGCGACAGCCAGGAGGCAGCGTAGCTGGGCTGCTTGGGATCATTATTGTGTGGGCTACAGTAGCGCAGCCCAAAATCAGGGCCCACTTTGGGCATTATTAGCAGTATTACGGTAGCACATAGAGGCCCCAAATTAAGGAGGAGACACTATGACATACACATTACCAGCATCACATGACAGTAGCACCTGGGGGTGGGGGGCATTATGAACTGCACGTTAGCAGCAGCACTACAATAGCGCCTATGGGCTCCCCTTTTTTATAGTGCGTGGGGGAAGCCCCCCTGTATAGGAGCACCTGTCCCAGAACAAGTGCACATTACCATAGCACC